TCTATATAAGCCACCACATCCAACCCCACTCAGTTCAACAGCAAATTTAGTACCTGGTACAAACTGTCTGCATGAATCCTCAATCATTGGTGAGATGAATGGATGGAAACAGAAGGTCTTTTGAGATAGCAAATAGGTTGAGGTTGAAAAGATAAGTTGAACAAAAGAAAGAGGGGCTCAAGACTTAAAATCTGACCACTAGACAATGCTGACTTCTGGACACTGCAAGGGTGATGACGGATCGAAGAGATCCTCATGGAGCTGAACTGATCAACTGTTCTGAGGCATGATGTATATATGAGCTTGTGGTACAATTGTCATGGTCATATCTCATACCTTCTGGCCTTTTAATAATAGAATTCTCAAATCATGAGTATCCTCGAAAAAAAGAGCTCATTGATGTTTACATGTGGGCAGGAGATCGAGGATTGGAATTATAATGCAATGTTGGTTGAGAGCCAGCATAAATTTTGATCAATGGTAGTGGATGACATCAAATGGTTACATATCTCAAATGATGAGCATCATCCCCTTGGCATATTCTTTCTTTGGTATGTCCAGACAATGATAAGCATTTAAACCCTGTAATAGCATAAGTTTGAGTTCTTGTTGATGCAGATAGGGACAAATCAAAGGACAGAACTTTCAGACCATCAGGGTGCCCAGAGTAGAACAATAGTGACAAAGAGCCCCAGCTGTGTATTCAGGCATAATGATTAAACATTAATTGTGAAGAACTACAGTGTACAGGGAAGTATGGTGAAGCCAGATGGGATTGTGGTCAACATCGGTGAACAGTTCCGGGCACTGTTTATGGGGAAAAGTAGCTGTTCTACCTCGCTCTCAGCCTTTCCCTGCTCAAACACTTTTGGCAATGTGACATTGAGCATTAATGGGGTAGTGGTAACCTGGGTCGTTGCCATGATCTGAAAGAATCTCGACCCGCCGGGGGTTCGATTCTCTCTTAATGCATGATAGTAATGAAGAGTCCCAGCTGCGTATTCAAGCATACAATGGTTAAACGTTAAGTGTGGTGAACTGCTACTCGCCCTCAGCCTTTCCCTGCTCAAACATTTTTGGCAAGGTGACGTTGAGCATTAATGGGGTAGTGGTAACCTGGGTCGTTGCCATTATCTGAAAGGATCTCGACCCGCCGGGGGTTCGATTCCCCCTTAATGCATTCGTAGAGTCTTGACAAATTTTTTTTGTTCGGTACTCTATTTTTACACACAACCAATTTTCAAGCTATACTACTAGGATTGATCAAACCGACGCTCGGTTTTTCCTTATATTTTGTCATTCTCTTCGTCAAATGAATTCATGTAATTAGGGCGATTCTCGTTGTCAAGTGTGCAAGTTTCAAGCTCAACACACCAGTATACATGCCTAATTAACCTCATCATAAACCAAATGTTTTTGCATCCTTTTCGAAATGAATAGTTTATCGTCAACAACGACCTCCGACTATGGGTACCAGTCGCACATTGAATCGTGTACAGCAACTTACAAGAATCATGACATTGTCTGTTACATGAATTTATATTGGAAGCATTTATCTGAAACTAATTAAA